TGGATTTCGAATCAATTTACGTACTTAGCATATTCGTTCGTGTGAATTAAGTGCTGCTGCATACAAGAAGCTAGTGCACCGAATTCAAGTACACAACGAACAGCTCAGCTTGGGAGAAAAATCAAACGAGAAGCGTGTCTCTGCGAGCTACACAGCTACAGTTTCACGGTATGTGTATGCGTGTATGTTTAGACTGATATGTAAGATGATACTTTTTCCTCTAGCTTTCATAGTGGATACACAGTTAAGAAATGCAAATTCTGTTATAGTCTTACTTTCTTATTGTATCCCTGTCATGACAATTAATTTATTATATTTACGATAGTTTATTATAACTTTTATCACTTCGAGAATAAATAATTATTGGTTTCTGATTGCTTCGAATATAAGCATCGTGTCATCAAAGAATTCCTCGTTTCGAATAATTTGTCATTAATTATTTTTCATTATTTTTCGTTTTTATTAAACACCAATGTACAACAATCTTTGTAAATAATACTCAATATGAATTTCTATTGGAACATAAGTTATAAGTATGGTCATACATTGAACCGCATTTTTCATAACTTTCCCTTCATTTCCGGGAAAAATGACAATTACATTTTTCGTTCCTTAGGATGCGTAGAATCATGCTGTAAAAAATTTTTCGTTCCGGCCATATGCCAAAATTGGCCTTTCTATAACATCCTCCTTTCTAAATTAACGAAAAACTGCGTACGAGCGATTCCACGTGAAATCGCACAGAGTTGTGATCATAGTCGCCGATTTTTTTCAAGCTCTACAAAAATATTACGGTTGTTAATAATAAAGAAAATTTTAGCTTTAATATGAGACGAAGATCCTAAATTTTACACAAAGCCAAAACGTTACTGTTAAAGATACTACATTTCAGCTGATTTCCTCTAATTTTTCAAAACTTACATAAAATATTAACACAAAATGTAGGAGGTTAATGTCCGGATCGGGCCGATCATACGGTCAAGCTTGTTTTCGTTAAAACCCTCAGATACGAATAGGCGAAACGGTGGCCGTGGCCTTTCGACGTTCGTTGTTATTGAACAAGAGCGAGTGTTTTTGTGCGAATGCGAGGGATCGAGTTGCGAATGCGAGCAACTACGAGACGCGAAGACCTTATAAATAGGGAAAACAACAGCGAGAGGGGTCCATTTTTTTGCGAAGCGATAAAGCCAGTAAAGTTACCAATGTTGTTTATCCTAATTATACTTCATTAATCTCTAATCGCGTTTTGCATTCCGTTCCCTGCATAAAATTTCACACAGTTCACCTTTCTCGAAAGTGTCAATTAATCCTACGAATTCATAAAGATTGAACGACTCTTTACGACCGGAACTCCGTGTGATTTGACGTGGCACGAACAGCCTTCGGTTATCGCAACATATTACCGAAACTCGGGACATTCTCAGCACACGTTCGAATCAATATACACGTAATAAACTGTGCAATCAATCAGAACTATTTGGACGTGCATTTCGATACGTTTAAGAGAATCCGTGGGTCGTGGGAAAGTCATAGGTGCGGGCCGCAGAATGCAATTATACGAGAGGCCACATTCGGTCGATCGCGCCGCCTTGAAATTATTAATCACGAATTGCATTAGCGTCCAAGCAGTTTCACATTACATACCGAATTATCGGTTTTCATCTCAAACGGATTATCCCCGCGCCGCAATTATGTGAGATTCCGTGCAGCACTCTCGACGATGCTGAGAATTCTCTTACAGGACCCTGTTGGATTCCATTCCGACTCACATTCGGCTCGTATGTACTGGCAAACTCCCTGTTAAGTCTCTCCGGTGCTCATCGATTAATTAATAACTAACGGCTTGCACGGTCGTTTCCAGGCTGGAAAGGGTGTTCTTTTGTTCAAGTCGACAACTGAAAACCAGAGAAAAATATCATCCTGGCGAAGGATGCCGGGGGCAACGAGTGGTCAGGTCGGATGATATACGACACGTGAAAATGGAGAAATTGATGAATATCATAGCGGTGCATGGTGTGTGTCATAAATCGAAGACGACTGGTACTTCTGACGAGAAGTTGCGACAGTATGCGCTGTTCTGTTGCAATTTATACAAAGATTTATTCGCTCGCGTAACAATTCTTTCGTTCGTAACACTCTTTGCATTTATTCAAAATTCGAATTAACGAACGTACTTCTTCAAGTCCTGAATTAATAACGATTATTTTATCGAATTGACAAACATACACTACCGTGCATAAGTATTTGGCCACCCTATAAAACGGAATAACTTTTTTAAAATTGGGCCAAACGACTTGACTTTTTTTTTGAGAAGTTAGAAAGATTAGTTTACTAGATGACGTGTGCAAAAAATTTTGAAAAAATTACAGTTTGTGGGAATCGCGAAGAAAATTGTAAAGGTCACGTTTTACAACTTTTTTATCTGAGCTCGTAATGAAAATTTAAAAAATAAGTTTTGCAGATCTATGTCAGTTATACACACGCTGAAAATTTCATCGAAATCGGTGGATGGAG